TGATCATCTCGGTGCCGTCACTCCACCTGGCGGTGCCCGTCAGGTTCTTCCACTTCGTTCCTGCGAAGTCGTTTGAGGCGAAGCCCAGCCTCAGGTCCTCATTCATGTCCGGGCGTTTGTGCTGCTTGGCCTCTACGGAGGTTCAGCCGGGGTTCCTCTGGTTCGTGGTCAAGGACAGCTGCGTCGAGAGGCTCTTCGTCTGCGCCCGCCTCGTCGTTGATCATGATGAGCTTGCACTGGTGCGCCCCACCGTCCCGCTCCAGGAAGACCCTCGCGCTCTGGTTGCCCAGCAGCCGCAGCTCCGGGCCGCTGTCGGAGGCCGCGCTGTTGTTGGAGATCTGCAGCTTGCTCCAGCCCGCCCAGTTCTTCGTCAGGAAGAGATCGTCCGAGAAGTCGGAGGTGTTGGTCACGATGAGCGTGTTGGACGCGAAGAGCTGCGGCGCGGAGACCGTGCCCGAGCTCGTCACGTCGCCGCAGACCACGCTGCCCGTCGACACTCCGCCGCTCGTGGCCGTGAAGGTGCAGTCCAGGCTCTCGCAGTCCAGCGGGCCCGCGGAGGCCGCCCCGGTGATCGTCAGCGTGGCGCCCGTGACCGCCCCGGTGGCTGCGAAGCTCGCCGCGGTTGCTGCGCCTGAGGCCGTCAGCGTGCCCGTGGACACGTCGCCCACCGTGGTGAAGTTCCCAGCGTTGGCCGTGTTGTTGATGGTGAGAGTGCTGCCCGTGATTCCGGTGGCCGAGCTCAGCAGGCCGCCCCGGTGATGCTCAGCGAGCTGCCTGACACGGCGCCTGTGGACGACAGCGTGGCTCCGGCGACGGTGCCGGTGGCTGTGAGCGCTGCGCAGGAGACTGCGAGGCGTCCACGCCCGTCGTGAACACATCGGTGCAGTTCACATCGTTGCGCAGCAGCTGGTCGCAGCCCACGTTGCCCTGCGCGGTGAGCCCGTCCAGCGTGGCCGAGCCCGCGAGGGCCAGCAAGTCGGCCAGCAGGTCCGTCACGGAGACCGACTCCATGTCCTGGCTAGAAGAGGCCAATTTCGAAAAAACATCTTTAAGTTTTGGGCCTTCGGCTGCAATAGCGCGAAAATCCAGGCCCTGGAATCCCGGTCCAATCACTCATCTTAGCATCAAAGCATTGCAGGCGTGAAGGAGCAAGGGGTATACCTTAGCACTCTGACTGCAGTCAGGAGTCGTCCGAAAGCCTAAAGGTGGCAAACATGGCTTACACAGCTCTGCAATTACCCTGCCCTTCAGACATGAACCCCGAAGCAGGACAATGATACAGACTACATTTGCTGCAGGCCCTAGCCAACTCCTGGGGTGACCCAGACATGGCCCTGCTGGCACGGGGTACCAACAGGTGCTGTCTCAGCCTTGCCACCCAGCCAACAATGGAAAAGCCGGACACGGCCGTGCTACCAGATCTAGAGATGTGTGAAGGCAACTGGAAAATGGCCGAGGACAAACCAGAGACAGTTCAAAGCCTGTTGCGCAATGAAATTGCCAACAACTGGATCGTAGAAACCGGCCTTAGCCTTGCCGAAGCTCGGAAAAAATGGCCTTTAGGTATCGCCGTAGGCAAACTAAATGTGGTCTTTGACAGAGGGAAAAGAGCCTCGCCTTGTCCTGGACAGCACCGTGTGCCACGTCAACACCAGGTGCCACCTACCAGAGCGCCTTAGCCTGCCAATGGCTTCAGACCTGGCGCTGTCCACGCAACCAGAAGACACTCCAGGTGCCGTTGTGGGGGCAAGCATTGACTTCAAAGCCGCGCACAAACAGGTGCAGGTCCGCCCTGAAGAGCATGGCCTTTTACTGTTTGCTTTTCAGGAAAAACTCTACCATTATAGAGTATGGCAACGCACTGGCGCGTTTCTACTCCGCCAAGTGCATGGGCTGTTGGCTTGGAAGCCCCACAAAGCCTTCCTTTTCGTGGACGACCTGCTGTGCGCACTCGTCCGAGACAGTGCCTCAGACATGTTCGCCTTAGTGGTGCTGTTCTTCTGCGCAATTGCTGCGCCCATTTCCTGGAAAAAGGCGCAGTTTCAGGACAGCCTCATTTGGTGTGGCTGGGAGATCAACTTCTCCCACGATACCATTCAGCTTGTGTCCGCTAAGCTGATGAAGCTGGACGCCTTGATCAAAGCATTGCTGGGAAGCAAACGAGTACTACGTAAGACACTCGAGCAGTGCATAGGCCTGCTCATTTGGGCCACCAGCATTGCCCTGCGTCTCAGATCTTGGCTAGCGCCTCTCTACTCTGATCTCAACAGCCCTCCGGGCTCGATGCGCTCGGTACCACCACAACTGTGGTCAGCCTTCAGAGCCTCCTTGAACAAGGACCTCAAGACCAGCATAGCCTTCCCAGCCTTTGGATCGCAGGGGCTCCAAAATTCTCGAAATTTCGGGCCGCCCCATGCATTGCCCTCAGGACGTCCCGGGTGTGCCAGGCACCAGCAAACCCACGTGGGTACGTGTCTCAGATCCAAATAACCCCTCTTCTAGCCTTTCCAAGTCGAGCCAGCAATGCCTTACGTGGCTAGCTTCGTGCTTCCAGCACTCGCCAGTTCAGCCCTTGGCACGGCCGCACCAGCTACAGACACTGGGCAGCCGCAGTGCCGAAGGCGACTTGGTAGGTATAGGTGGCTGGGCAATCACTTCATCACAAGTGGTTTGGTTTGCCGAAACCTGGAACATGCAGGACATACGGGCAGTATGGCCTTGCCTTGTCAAGCCTGGACAGCGCTAAATCGCATGTTTCGAAACGCTGGCGAAGTTGGCACTGCTGCAGGCCACCCATAGCCACATTGGTGGTGGGCACTACTCATTCAGCATGCCTTCAGGCACTGATAACTCGGCAACAGAAGCAAGCCTTAACAAGTTGTTCACGACTTCTTGGCCGCTGCAACTCTTCGTGCAGCTCACAGCTTTCTGGGCGCATGCACACAATGTGTTGTTGCAGCCCACACATGTTCCAGGCAGGAACAATGATTGGGCAGACGACCTAAGCAGAGCTCGGCTAGCCCGATTCAGCCATCGCCCAGAGAGTCGCGTACGCTTCAGCCCCGCAGGCCTTGCGCTGTCAGGCAGAGGCATCCAGCTGTGTCCGATTGATGCGCCCTGGCGCCCGGAACACCTAGCAGCTGCTGCCAGGCGTCGCGACCCGACATCGCCCTGGCAACCAGAATATCTGGCTGCATCTGTCAGCAGCTTCACAGCAAGCCGCTTTGGCGAAAATGAGCAGTCCCAGAACAGCAAATGCTCATAAGCATGTAAATGCAATGTCGTGCGACATTTGCCCTGCCAGGTACAACCCCACTCTGAAGGGGGGGTGATGAGGCCGGCGGCCCAGCTGGCTCGCTTATACCGGGGTTGCCTGAAACACTGAAGGGGGGGTCAGCGCACCTCCTGCTCCAGGCGCGTCCGTGCCCTGGAAGCAGTACTTTCAGCAATCCCGGTTACAAGAACTGCGGCCGCTTCGGACTTGCTTGTTCTTTTGGGTGGTCTGGTTTGGGTTCAAGATAGGAGCAGTGCAACATGCCTTAACGCTTAGGGTTTTCTTTTCCCTTGTGTTTAGGGCATGTTGTGAATCTACTTCCGCGGTGGCCGTTTTGCTCCTAGCCTTGACCCAAACTTGATCTGTTTCATTTGAAACCCACCCACCCACCCTGCATTGCCTTTTCTATAAGGCTCTGCAAAGGAAGTTGCAGATGCTCTGCATTTCCATCCATGGTCTCCGGACCTCCGGGTCTCCGGACCGCCCACGGTCTCAGGACCACCAGGTCTCCGGACCGGCGTGGGCACGCTTGCCACGCCTTGCGCGCACTGCACGCACCTGCAAGGACACGCATTGTTTTGCCTTTAAGTTTCACGGGGGGTCAACGCACCTCCTGCTCCAGGCGCATCCGTGCCCTGGAAGCAGTGCTACTTTCAGCAATCCCGGTTAAAAGAACTGCGGCCGCTTCGGACTTGCTTTGTTCTTTTGGGTGGTCTGGTTTGGGTTCAAGATTGGAGCAGTGCAACATGCCTTAACATTGGGACTCAAGTGCAAAGCAGAAAAACAGTATCCTACTGAGGGAGTAGGCTGCAAAAGAGGGAGTGAGATATGCTCGCGGCGTTGCGAGTGCCATGCCCATCCTGACCTTAGTTTGAAGCAGGTTCGGAATGGATTTCAACAACTTGCATACGGGGTGAGCATTTGGCATGGGATGAGCATGCATTTTGCATGATAAACTTCAACGCGTGGTCATTCGGCAGTTTCGGCAAGTGAGCGCCATGAGGAATCGGTTTCCCCTAGATCGAATCTTTTGGGGACGCACGAAAATGGAGGTTTTCCCCACTCAAACCTACTCTAAAGACCCTGAAAAAATGGAAAAGTGGCGGGTGTGCGTTGCTTTCTGATGCTCAGGGACGCTCGCCGATGGTCTCAGCCCACATTCCGACAAGCTCAGATGCTGAAATCCGTATTCAGTCAAAGCACGTGGGGCAGTTTCAAGTGTTGTGCTACATGCCGTGTTGATGTTTTCTTCTGTGATACTAGCTTTCTGGACATTTTGTTGGCCAATCTTTCAGGCAAAAAACAAAAGCGCAACCAGTCCTTGCTGCAGGACTTGACCACTGTTTTTGTTTTTTCTTCGGACAAGGCAATGCACATAGGCAAAGTGCACTCATAGTCCAACACGTTTTTCTCGTTTTTGCCGGCAGCTCTTTGTTCGGCTGACTTCGGGTGGCTTGGCTTCGCATGTCACAAACTTGCCGCCTCAGTTCTGCAGCAAGTTGGCTCTCACATCCCACTCTCGGGACACGTCGCATTCCGCAAAGAGCAGAACTGGGCAGGCAGACACAGCCTACAGGCCACACTGGGTGAACCACTTTCCCGCGCGCGGTTTTGACTTCTCGTTCCCTGGCCAGGGTCTCAGATCTTTAGATCTTTGGGACAGCTGTGACCAGACAAACTAGACAAACTGCAACTTTGGCCCAGGTACAACAAGTTCGCCGGCCAGATGCCACAGGCTGGCACCCGTATTTTGCTGTTTGCAGCCTGCATATGCAGGGTGCTTCTTGGACCTTGACATGGAGCGGTTCCCATTTTTCTTGTTTCAAGTCTTGTTTGTGGCTCGTAAATACGTATACAATATATGCAAAGCCAGAGATGCAGAACCTACACGTGCACACATTTCACACATATGCGCACATGCACTTCGCGAGGAGAGGCTGAGCAGCTTGGGAGAAACAACACTGGGCCCTGAGTGGCTACAGCGAGGTTCGCGACCCAGAGCGAAGTGCGGCTCGATGGGACGAGTCGACGCGTCGGGCGAAGTTTCGGTGTTCGACCTGAGGAATTCGCAGCGCTCCTCTCAGGGCAGTTCCTGGAGAGCCGAAGCATGTCGCTAGCAAGTCTTGCAAAGGCTTGAGGTGCTTTGAGTATGGGTATGGGTTTGGGTTTGGGTATGGGTTTGAGGTGGTTTGGCTTGGGAAGTGCTGGTTTCAGTCCTTTCGATTTTTCTCACAGCAGCTCAGGTCCGAAGTCTGAGAGCGACAAGCTCGCTGAGACCTACAGGCCGCGTAGTTTCGGGGGAGCCGTTTAGCCAAGAAAAGTCTCCCCCATTTGCTGCTGGCTGCCCCCAGCATTTTTTGGATGCTTGATTTTGCATGCCCCGGTTTTCACATCCATTGAAGTGGTTGAGAAAAGACCCATGGCCCAGGGGCCTCGTGGAGAGATGCGAAGCAAGCCATGGATCCCAGGTATGCACGGGATCAGCTCCTGCTTCTGCAGAGCTCGATGCAGCTCCCTGCCGCGCCGCGCCGGGCGCCTCAGCCGGGTCTCGGGTCTCAGGTTTGGGTTTGTCAGCGGAAGGGGGGACATGGGGAGTTGATCAATATGAGTTGGGCTCAAAAAAAATTGGCACGCCCCAGTGACAAAGAAAAACAAAGCCAAGAGTGGAACAAAGCAGAACGTCATCTCTACTCGCTCTGATTGCCCTTGCACTGGTATCACATGGAATCTTTACAGGGGGGTTGATCAATATTCCATTTAGGGCCCCCAAATGACCAAGGGTAGCTTTTCCAGTTCAGTGGAACTTGTCATCGTTTTAGTGGTTTCCCCCAATGGTCATCCTATGTAAAGGATCCTTTGATCAACCCCCACATGTTGTGAAGATTGGCGTTACTCTTCGTCACATCCCCTAACTTGAAGTTTCCTTTGCTGCGGGGCCAGTGATTGCTAGGAACTTTTCAGATCGCTTCGGAAGTCGCCAACATGGATCGGGCTTAGGATGCAGGGCCATGTGGGAATGGGTCAAATTTCATCGCCGCCAGGATGTGGACTGCAGGTTTTGGTCCTTTCCATTCACCAGGGCAACCCATCTTGGGCACCCTCCCACCAATCAACATGGAACCTGACAGACGCTTCCCAACTGGCAGGCAAAGCTAGGCAAGCCGCTTCCCATGTGAGAGGGGGTCGGGCGGGACCCCCCTGTCAGGTTCCATGTGGTGGGTCATAACCTAAGCCGATCCCATTTTGGGGCGGATGAACACCCAGGTACCATGTGTTTTGATGTTCACCAGGGGTTTCCTGGGTTTTGACCCACAGCCATGTTAATTGGGAGGGGTTACCTTATGTTTGACCACAGCCATGTGTTAGCTCCGGACTCAGGCCAATCCAATGGCCGGCCGGTGCCCACAGCTGAGCGCCGGCCTTATCGATTCATTTCGCAGGCGGCTTGAAGCCTTTGGAGCCAGGAGCTGGTGGTGTTTTTTTGTGCGTTTGGGCGTGTCTTTTGTTGAGGGAGACCTTGGCTTTCTCTCCTTGGCTTTAAAGGAAGACCACAAACAGAATGATGATTTTTTTGGGGTTCGTGGCAAACTGATTGAGCAAGCTTTGGGCGTGTGCTTTCGCTGAGGCTGCAGCCTGTGCCCAAATATCCAGCTGGGCGCTGAGTGACAGTGTTGTTCAGAGAGACTGGAGACCTGGGTGGCTCGTCTCTTTTTTGAGGAGTCGGAACCAGGACCCCCAGAAGGGCCGTGGTTGGTTTCCTTCTGGTTCCGTCGCCCTCCAAAAAGGGACTCCGAGCCTCCGCGAAAAAGAAAAAGCAAAAAACATCGAACCACACGGGGATGGACACGGCCCGGCTCCGAACCAGGTCTTCGGTGCGATGACCAAGGAGAATTTGGTGTCTGAGGGGGTCTTGCCTGCTTCATCCCTCGAGGACGCTCTGAATGTCCATGGCCGATTTGAGGCAACACATCTTGGCACGAAATCAACTTGAGACGTCGATAGTTACCAAAAACCGTCCGATTTGCATGTCAGTCCCAAAATCATGGCGCGTGCCTGCGCGAAGCCAAGCGTTAGCTGCATGCTTATGTTTCCGACGTATCCGGGTTTGAGAGCAGCCAGTTTCAACTTGCGAATGCCCGAAAACGCCCTTGCCGCGCCTCTTTTCGAGGACAAGGCGGTTGCTGGGACGCTGCGGGGCCGAGGTAACGAAGGCACGGGCGGCGGAAAGTTGGTGGATTCAAGCCACGGAGCCAGCGCAAATGGCGCCAGGCCGTGGTCGTGTCGGCAAGGGCCAGGGTCGGAAAGGCGCGGGCGGGGCGTGTCATTTGGCTATGGGTCAAAATTAAACCACCAGGGGACCGTCAGGTTTTAGTCCGTGTTTCCATTTACCAGGGCAAGCCATTTTAGGTGCCGATTTTTGACCCACACCCACTTCACCAGTGCTGACCCTTTGCTGCGAATCCAATTCTGTCGCTCGTGTGGTGGGGGATGGCAGGTCGCGGCGACGAGGAGACGCATGTTCGATCGGTGCAAAGTAGCACTTGAGGTCGTGGTCCCTTCAGGACAAGCTTTGGTGCCAAGGAAAGACAACTAGTAACTCTGGTTCATCTTGGGGTTTTGGGAAGCTGGATGGAAGCTTCCGTCAGAAGCAGTTTGCCTCACCGCCAAACATGTGTAGCGGCCACTTGACGCGTTGCGGGCGGCTTCCCTGAAGCGCCAAGAGTCTGTCGCAGGATCCGGATTTGCAGATCGAGGCTGCGGAGCCCTCGGCTCTTTCGAATGATTCGAAGGGTGGCTTCTGTGGTTCCCAGCCATCTGCCTGAGCTTTTTGGCTTAGGTTAAAGGGGCAGCCCAAAAGGTTCCACAGGCACCGGGTTCTCCAAATGTGCCCTATGAGCCTACCACAGGGAAGATGCGGATATGGGTGTGTGTGTGTGTGTGTCTCTTTCCATTCAGCCACCATTTTTTGGGTGGCTTGAAAGAAGGACACCAGCATGAACGCCACATACATTCATTTTGGGGGGATCCAACCGTTTTTTGGACACACCTTGCTTCAAGTCCGTGAGGCTGCCCAAATGAAGCCTTGTGTGAAAGGGTTTTGGGGGGGTTTTGGGTCACAGGGGCGATGCTGAGCGAGCTGGTTTTGGAGGGGCACGCAGCGCCTCAGCGCCGCCCGAAATCCGTTGGAACTGGAGAGTCGATGCCTCAGGCTTCGCCGGCGCAGGACTTCACCTCGCCCGCGCTGGGCCGGGCTTCTCGGGGTGCGGGTTTTTGGGCTTTCGCAGTTTGGAGCTTGGCGCATCTTTTTTCAGGACCCTCAAGATGGTTTTCTTTTTTTGTTGTTGTTTTGGTTTCCCTTCAAGACCAGAAAGGAGCAGCCGCCTTTAAGAAAACAAAAAACCACAAACGACCAGATAGATGCATTGTCGCAGATGCTACGCCAAGGATCTTGATTCACTGGGCTTAAGACCAATTTTGTGGATGTTCCACCACGTCCAAGGACCTACTTCGCCGGCCCCGCTGGAGCTACCGGAGGCTCCAGGCACGCCAGGACTCGTTGCGAGCTTGCCAGCGAGGGAGCTGATACACTCCGAGAGCGCAAGGTTGCCACAGGTGGTTTGTGAAGGCAAAAAGACAGACATGTACAACATTTGCAACTTCTCCTGTTCACCGAGTTGGATCACGCGCTTGCAGGCGTAGCCCCTCACTTGAAGGGAGACAAAGTTGATGCGGCTGCTCCGTTTGCTCCAGGAGAGGTTGAGGAGGGCACGGGGAAGAATCCCATGAACAGCTTCTTGGTTCGTGGCTCAGAGATGGATATCCGTCAGGTTTCGAATCGGATCGGTTCTAGGCACGGGTGCTGAAGAACAAGCAGAATGAGGCGGGCTCTTCTGGGCTAAAGGATGCTGCAGTGGGTTGCAGGATTCCACTTGGGTGTGGTTCTTGTTCTTCAGGGACCCACAATGGATTTCGGTTTTCCTTTTAGCTTTCCTCTGTAAAACCACAACAAACAGAGGGCCCCTTGGACCAAACATAGACCCACTTAGCCTCGCCGCAGTCCACAAAGGCAGCATTTTTGGGCCTCCTTTTTTTGTGAGGCGGCGGCGGCGGCGGCGGCCGAGCCTCCACCTGTGCTGCCGGGGACCTCGAAGAGCTTTGAGCGCGCTCGAAGTGGAAGTGCGTCAGCCAACGGCGGACCCAGGCCGCCGGCTGTTGCGCTAGAGTGGGCGACTCAGCCGGCAGATACTGATGGCGATGCAAGCGACACGTCGGCAAGGTCTGTGCCGGAGTTCCCGAGATCTGTGCCGGAGTTTCAGGCGCATCCGGCTCGGAGTTTTTTTTTTTGGAGAGGTCGAGGTGGAGTTTTTTTTGGGGGTGCCTACCAAATGTCAGGTACGCCCTGGTTGGTTTGGATTGGTGGTTTGGGAGTTGAAGCCTTGGTGTTGGCAGAGGGTACACAGGAGACCATTCCTTAGCCACCAAGCCACCAATCCAATCCACCAAAGGAGAAGCGGAACATGGGCGGGACCTGGCAGGCACCTCTGGTCTCCCCGGTGTCGCGGCCGCCGGCTGGGCCACCCGAACTTTCAGACGCTTCGCGCATGTTGCGTGTCAACCCCCCGAAACCCCTCAACCCCTCACCCCCCCAACCTGACAGAGACCCAGAGACCAAAACCAAAACCGCCCAAGCCCCGCAACCCCAAAACCACCCAAAGGTTCCCCACTTTTTCCACCATGCTTTTTGTCATGAGGTTCCCATGGAGCGGCCGCCACCACCGTCCGGGCTCTTGAGCACTCGACCTGAGAAAGTGTTTCAACATCCGTGAGACATCGGCCTGGGGAACACACCAAACCCACCGAGAAACGAGAAATCAGATCGGCCTTCTGATTTGCTGTCTGGGCATGAGTGTGAAAACCATATTTTTTTGGAAGCTAGCCCAAAATGGTGTGGCTTTACTTCGAGGGAAAGCCAAGATTTCAAAGCCGTTGCTCGAAGCCCAGCTTACCTTTGCCCCCCTTCCCCCATTTTAGTGTCTTAAAGGGAAAACCACCAGGAGCACTGCTGTTCAGCTCGGACTGATCCCTGTTCGAGTTGTTGGTTCCTACCTCAAACCTGGGAACAATGGGATCCAGATGTAGAATTCGCAATCTCTCAAGAAGCAGGGCCATTTGGGGTGGGGGTCCCCCGTTTTTCGAGTGCGCCGAGGCCTGGCGGTGGCATCGAGGAGCTCCGGGAGGGGCTGGCGGATGGATGGCTGGACCGGCCGGAGCGAGAGCTGCGGCCTGGGCCGCCCGGTGCCCAACTGCGCGGCTCACGTTCTCCCCCCCCCCCTCCCCTTCTCTCCCCCTTCTCTTCTTCCGCTTCTCTTCTCTCCTTCTCCTCTCCCTTCCCTTCTCCCCCTGCTGTCTTCCTCCTTCTTCTTCTCTTTCTTCTCTCTTCTCGCGTGCTTGTTTGGCGCCTCACTTTTTGACGTGTTTTGATTAAGTTGGCATCCTTGGGGTTGGTTTGAAAGGACACCAGAGGGAAGACTGATAGTTCCATTTGTTCGGGGTCCATTTTAAGGCGCCATTGGTGCAAACGCAGAAGTTGGACTCCGCTGGAGGCTTCCGGCCACATCTCCTCCCCGGCATCCACTAGGCGCGACCTCGGGTAGACCCAAGCACCACAGCTTACATGCTATGCAGAATACACATAATATGAATATATATGAGTCAACCTCAGAATTATCAAAGACCACTTTATCAACGGCGTACTGGTTTTTTGCATTTTCCTTGGAGAACGATAGGGGACTCACAAAAAACGATACCCCTGAACATGGTTTGTGCTGGACCTTCGAGCTGGAGCTGCCGAAGTCTAACTTGTGTACCGTGCCTGTACTGAAAGCTGCGACTTGCGACCTGGAGGTTGCTGCCAGCAAGCAAAAGCCGCTTAGACTGACAGACTGACACGTGACCGCCGCAAGCTGCGACCTTCGAGCTGGAGCTGCCGAAGTGTAACTTGTGCACTGCGCTTGTGGTGAAAGTTGCGACTTGCGACCTTGAGGTTGCTGCCAGCAAGCAAGCCGCCAAGACTGATATATGATTACCGCAAGGCAGAGAAGGCTATTGTGTGTTTGCTTGGCTCTAACAGCTTATGGAAAATTGTGAAAATTTTCGTCACGCGACACACGCCCAGAACGATACCCCGGTCGATACCCCGTCGATACCCCGAGCATTGGCCCGAGTTGCAAATGTGAGGCCTAGTGCATTTGCTTACAAAAGACTACGCGTGTGGTTCCAGTGCTGTGTTTGCGTAGAAAGTTTGTCGGGTGCTTTTCGAGTTCGCGCGGCGCTATAGCGAGAGCGCTTGGGCACGCGTGGTCACCGCGAAGAGGGTTCACCGGGCACTTTCCAAATTCGCACGGAGTCGCAGCGAGGGCGCTTTGACACGCGCAATCCTCGCAGAGGGTTCATTGGGCACTTTACGAATTTGCACGGCGCCACAGCGAGAGCGCTTGGGCGTGCAGGATCACTGCAGAGGGTTCACCGGGCACTTTCCAAATTCGCACGGCGTCGCAGCGAGGGCGCTTTGACACGCGCAATCCTCGCAGAGGGTTCATTGGGCACTTTACGAATTTGCACGGCGCCACAGCGAGAGCGCTTGGGCGCGCAGGATCCCTGCAGAGGGTTCATCGGGCAGTTTTAAAATTCGCACGGCGTCACAGCGAGGGCGCTGTGGCACGCGCAATCCTCGCAGAGGGTTCATCGGGCGCTTTACAAATTCGCACGGCGCCACAGTGGGAGCGCTTCGAGGCGCGCGATCCCTGCAGAGGGTTCATCGGGCGCAGCACGAACACGCGAAACGTGGAGAACGATAGGGGACTCACTAAAAGTAGAATGAATACACCCCACACAGCAAATATAGACGCTGGCTCATATATATATATATATCACGTATCACATATCACATATCACATATCACATATATATATATACATACACATTGTACAACACACATAGACACGCACATATATATATATATGTATAGCAACGTCTTGGCAGAAGGATGTCAAATTGTGGCCAGCGTCAAAGAGACTGTCTCGATTTAGTTGATTTGTGCTTTGAGGGAATAGAAACTCAAACATGCGCGTTGCGATCGTGCGTTAAGGAATGTATGCAACTTTAGACTATGTCGGGAAAGGGCTACGCATTGCATTGATGCCAGCACATGCTGGACATTCTCACCTATTGTCACATATGATGCAGCAGGTAAGCATTCTGTTTTCGGATGCAGTGGTCAAAGATTGGTGTCAATTGAAAGAGCAAATCGCTACTCTTCTTTTTAAATCCAGGACTTAACAGTGGGAAGCTGAGGTGTTGCTAGTTGGCGGGGGACAGTCACACAAACATACATGCATACAGACATACAGACATATAGAGACAGATAGGCAGGCAGGCAGGCAGGCAGGCAGGCAGGCAAACAGAAGACAGACAGAGCACAGAGACAGAGAGACAGCCAGAGATAGAGACAGAGATACAGAGACAGAGACAGAGACGGACACAGACAGACAGACAGACAGACACACAGACAGACACATGGGCAGACGGGCAGTAACAGACAGACAGTCAGGCAGGCATGCGTTTATATATATATATATATTCACATAAGTGTAGTAGTGATGATGTGCATGTATTTTCAAACATGTACGCTATAAGGCGTTCTTTTTTTTTCTTCTTCTTTTTTTTTTTTTTTTTTTCTCTCTCTCTCTCTATTATATATATATGTATATATATACATATACACATACATGACGAAAATCAGGTACATGCTTGTGCACTTTTGTTCATCTACGTTTTCCCACGGTCGGCTTGGTTTCGTTGTGCGAGGTCCCTTGAGTCCGTTGCTGAGCGCGGAGCCCTTTCCAGAGCCGCTGCTTTCGCCACAGAGGCGGGGCGAGCTGCGTTTCTGTGTTTCCATTATTTATGTCGCACCTTTTTTCGCGGACCTGGAGTTTTTCGCAGACATCTTTCTTTCTTTTCTTCTTTCTCCTCTCCTTGGCTGCGTTTTCTGGCTTCTCCCCCTCTCTAGGACCATGGTTTTGCAAAATGAACCAGAGGGCGTCTGAAGCCAGTTTGCATGTCAGCCAAATAGCTCAAGACTCAGGCTGGCTCTAAGTGCTTCCCACGGGATCAGTGTGGAGTGCCTTCCACTTTGCAAAACCGAAGAAGACCCCACAACGAGGCTGGACATTTGGTGCACCCCCGAGCCGTTGAACTGGACCAAAGACTGCCCAGGGCTTCGGTGAACCTGGCCAACGCGTTGGCACGGACGCCCGGGCGATTTTTCACGGCGACTCCAAGGATCCGATCTTGTTGCGCAGCCGGTTCTGTGATTTCGGTTCCCGGGGTTCTGCCTGGGAATGAGGGGCTTTGCTTTTGTCGTGAGGCGGAAAGGGTTTGTAAGTTCTGAGAGATGCACTCTTTGGGAGTTGCTTTGCCTGGGCAAGAAGTGTTCAATGGTTTGATAGGGGGCATGATGAATTTCCAGCTGCTTTTTTGCGGATTATTCATTCTCACGGACTTGCCACTAGTGCAGCATGGGCGCAGACGGCCAACTGCTGAGTGAAGAGTGTCGTGTACGCGCATGAGGGCCAGGTGTTCGCACATTTGCAGCCATTCTCAGGACATTCGTACACTTTCAACATCCGACGCAGGGCTACCCTGGTAAGTCGCTTCCATTTGACTGGGCCAAGTCAGCATTTGCTGCTCGATTTCCGCAGAGGAACTTTTCCATGGTGTGCAAGATTTAGAGTACCAGTTTGGAAGGGCCCAATCTTCATTGGTTGTTTTCTTGATGAACGGCACACTGCGGCGCCACTGCCGAGGCACGTGAATTCACAGGCGCGTGCGGGGGATGATACAAGCTGAGCCGGCTCTTCATGTCGGGTTTTTCCGAGTGGACGTTGACTAATCCGCGGAGTTGGTTGCCCTGTTGGGGCCAAACCACCCCTGGGTGTAAGTGGGGGTATTCAAAAGTAACGGAACCATTGGTTTGATGGGTGAGCACTGAGACGTGTGTTCCGGTGGGGCAAGCAGTTTCTCTCCTATGCTGGATATCGGGCACCTTGTTCGTTTCGCAGGCTACGGTTTTTCAGCGCACTACAAAGAATCCACATCGGGCACGGCTTTGCAGAAAATTCCACTTGTTTCCTATGTTGGTCAACGTAAAGAACTGCTTTCCTCCTCAATCCTTGATTCTGACAGCAAGTCAGGGCCCCCCTCAAGACGTACTGGTGCTCAGCAGGGAATGAGGGAATGAACCGGAAGGGGACTCCCTTCAAAAAAAAACCACCAGTTGTATGGGTCATTCCATTTCACCTTCCCTACTGATGAGCATCAGCAAGAAAAGGAATGCACAGAACCGCGTCCACTGCTTCGCTTCCGCTCAGGGCCCGATCCTGTGGTCGCGCCTCCCAGCGCCCCGATGAGTGCCATGACTGCGATGTCTGCACCCGGGAATGCGCCACAGGCGCCGAAGGGGCGCGAGAGTTGCCGTGCATGCGGTCACTTGGGGGTGTCCTTTTTTTTTGGGGGGGTTTGCTCGGTACTGTTTGTGGGCTTTTGAAACAAGAGGAAAGCAACACGGATGTTCAGGGTTCCCGAATTTGATTGATTTTCGAGACTTCGAAAGATGTGCGCGGCACATGCGAGGCTCTCCAGCCTGGTCGTGTCACAGCACCCCCGCCCAAACAGCAGGCGGACTTGGATTACGGAGTGTGCTCAACTTGGATTGCGGAGTGTGTCTCTTAGGTGTCTCTTAGGATTTCGACACCCAACATGGTTTCCCTTTGGTTTTTCTTCAAAACCAACCAAAACAGGTACCCTCAAAACAAGACACACCCATGTCAGAAGCTCGAGTGGTCCGGGGTCGCATTGTGCAGGCGCCCATGCGAGAGGAGCCTCTGCAGGTGTACTCAGACCGGACCGCAATCTCGTGCAAGCATGGCCCAATTGGTCATCGTTTGGATTTTGCGCGTAGACATGGGGCTGGATCAAGAGGTTCTTTATACATGGGATGACCATTGGTTGGAAAACCACTACAACGATGATATTTCTCACTAAACGGGGAGAGTTCCCCTTGGTCATTTTTTTGGGCCTCGCTTATGGTAACGACTCCTTGATCTTCATTTGCCTTGCGATCTCCGCAGCACCAGCCCAAGGCCAATGACGAAGCCGGCCGCAGTCGTCCGGGCAGAAGAGGACCACACCTGAGCCACAATCAAAACCCGGGTAGATGAAGGTTAGTAAGGGGCAGTCCCAGCCAGAAATAGTTGCGGCATTCTTAGTTCTTTACATGGTTCTGGCATTACGACCATTTTATTACCGGGTTTTGAGCAAGTGACTCACCTCTCGGTTTATCGGGTTGCGGTGCAGTTTCTTTTCCGATCTAGGAGGAGATCTTTCAGAAGGAGCGGTGCTGGTACTACAAAGACCCCAGCCAGAGAATTCAGGCACGGGATTCATCGCTGGAATTGAGGTTTTTTTTTCGTCACAGAGTCACTTCCCCCTAATACATACCCCTCCCTTATGCAAGTATGTATTTGCCTGGGGGCGGAACACTATTTATGGCTATTCATTATCAATAGGACTATCTATGGATATTTATTATCAATAGGATCCCAGAAAGGTTCCGCTAGAGTCCTCCAAATGAGGTCCCCTTTCCGGCCAGAAATCGATCAACATGGATGTCGAGTAAGTTAAGCAGCATACCTCTATGTAATTTTCGAGATTTGTGCTGGTTTGTTTTGGTTTGAAATTGGTTCGTATCGGTTTAGTATTAGCTTTATTATTGGTTCTACTAACGCATCGGTTTAGTCTTAGCTTTGGTATTGGTTCTAACATACGCCCCAATATGGCTGGAGTTGGGGTCAGCAGGAAATTTGCTTTTGGATTGCTTCAGTATTGCCAAATCCAAATTTAGTATTGGAGATGTGGGGTCGGAGAAATACATATTGGTTAATCAGGTGCATTTCTTAGGCGGAAATGATGAGTGAAAGAAGGGCGAGCTTTCTGTGCATGCAAACTCGGGACTTTACGGAGCATATTCGAAATACTTGAATGAGACAACACTTTTGCATGTCTACTTGTTTGTCCAGCAGGGCATACTGGTCTTGGCAATGTACCTAAACAAGACTCGCATTCCGCTCCAATAAGGTGCCTGAAATTGCAAAATCAAAGGCGTGCTCACCATGTGGACATCCAGAGAGTAAGTCTGAAGCTAAGCGCGGGGCCATGGCGAACAAATGATCCAGATGCTCGATGAAAACGATGCATGGCGAAAATTACATGAGAAGTACCCGGTCATTTCCATATGAGCCATGATCAATACCTGGGTAATTGGAGAACAAGGGACAACCCCAGCCACAAACCGGTGCGGCCGCCTTTTTGATAATTGTCTACATGGTTTTGGGTAGACCATTTTATTACTGGGTTTGATTGTGATTCATGTGACGACACTATGGGGCGTGTGTGGAAGTATGATTTGCTCGCACCCCCGGCGGGGCCAGGGTCCCTTCACCACCAGCCAAATGCAGCATTGGCAACAGGCGCGGTGCGGTGAAGGGTCCGAGTGCCGTTCAGTTCCTTTTTGCGCTTTTGTCCTTTCTCGTCCTTCAAGCTTTGCGCTCGATTGCTCACGTCGCGAGCGAGGTTGGCTATTTCAAGCCAGAGCTCCCCATCAGGCGGGGAGGAACATCGTCGGCAGGAAGTGGGGTCCTGCCTCGACCACCCGAGCGGCTCGAGCGGCTTTCGGCCATCACAAGAAGGGCCGGCGAAAGTTGGGAACCAGCGCCATCGAAGAAGCACATGCGGACCGGGCTCGTGGCTTGTGGCTTGAAGCCATGGACCGATTCGCTTCTTCCCTGCGCGGTCCAGTCCGGAAGGTCGACCGTTCGGCTGAGGTTCAGAGAGTCTGGCAACTTCTACCGGTTGGATCTGCTCTACCCCGAGGCTGGCGCTCGGATTTTGTCGAAGGCTGGCCCGAGAGATCTCGACGCAGGCGCCCTTCTCGCAGCTGCCGGCCATACCGGACCGGGGGCCGGTGGTGGATCCTCGTGCGCAGGCACGGAGAGCGGGTGAGATGTGGCCAAACCTGAGCCGACCCCATGGGGCGGATGAACACCGTGCCACCTATTTTGAGGTTCACCAGGGGTTTCCTGGGTTTTGACCCACAGCCATGTGGCGCCAGGCAACATCGGGGGGGCGGGGGCACACACGGGCTGCGATCTACGCCTTGGCTCAAACAAGGCAAGCTGGCACGGAAGGAACAGCTCAGCTTTGAACATGTTGACAGATTCTGCCGGCTTTGGTTTGTAGGCGCCCCTTTTGGGGCGGTTCACCTTTTGTGACCTTTGTGAAACCGAACGACGAAACAAACAAACAAAAGAGAAGAAAGGGGCAGCCGGGCGCCGTTCAAGCTGCCAAGCCCGCCGACTCCGGCGATGGCGCCGAATCCATCGATGGTGCCGGAGATGACGCTGCACTTCTTCTCCATCGATGGGCAGAAGCTGAGCATGCGAGTGCCGGACTGGAGCGGCAGTCAGCTGGTCTACGCGCTCCACCGCCAATTGCCCAGGCCTGGGGGCTGCGAACTGCGAACTGCTGAGGCAACCTCCCGATCGCCGCATGTTCCCTTGCCCTTATCGAAAACATCAACGCTCCCGAACTTATCGGCACACTCAACTTGAGACGCGCGGCTTGGTCTTTGTATCTTTGGAGTCCTTACCCTGTGGTTTTTACGGGGAAACCCAGAGGAAAGCCCCCGTCCAAATCGGTCCCGATGAAACGAGCGAGCCATCGCAGCAGGAAGCCCGGGACGGCGCTGAGCGTGCTCTTCAATGACAAGCAGCTGGAGCCGAAGGCAACTCTCTCCGCGCAGGGCATCCAGGACGTTCCGCAAAGAAAAGGGTCGAGTCACAGAGACGGATGTGGCTGTGGTGGTCAAAACCGTTTTGGGATTAACCATTTTGGTTGGTAGGTGAATTTGCCACCCATTGTTGTCTATTTAGTGGGGATTGGGATGTTCTGGGGGTACAGGATTTTGACCCCTGGCCATGTGTGAAGTTTTAGCTGGAGGGTACTCACTTTTTCTGGCAATTTTAAGGGAAAGCCGTGTGGAACCCCCCCACCCTAAACAAAGACAGACCCACATAGAAGAGGAACAATTTGTTTGGTGGACGTAGATCTCCAGTTGATGTGCACATGGAAGGTGTGTTGGCCGTTTGCAGGAGGATTCGGAACTGTCTTTGGTGTTTGAAGCCAAGACTGTGCACTCACCTCAGCATTCGAGCGACTGCTTCCACCATGGCACAACTTGCTTTGCAGTTGGTTGTGGCTCCAAAGCATCGCGCAGGAAAAGCCTTGCAGCTTAGCCACCCGGGGCTTTGTTTTGATTGAGGAATCGTACTCGCTGAGGTGCCAGGCTTGCCGCGTCTTCGGCGGCCTTGCCCGCGACAACTCGTGCTGGAACAGCCTCGAGGGATTGACCAAGCTCCATTTGGGCGCTTTGGTTATTAATATGGGGGTGTCCCCGGTTTTAGTGGCCCATATTCATAGACAGGGGCTTATTAATCCGGGGTCAACATTTTCCAAGCCCGGCAAGCCGTGTTTGCCCCCCTCAAGCGCCTTCAGATCTGAGGCAAGAATCTGGATGGCAGTGTCGACAGCTTGAACCTCCCAAGCGCCTGGGCGGATCGATGAAACTTGCAGTGCGCTTCTTCCAGCGCGCTTCTCTTCGCGCAAAACATCGAGCGTCCTGTTGGTGTTTTCCATTTTGGACTCCACTCCCTCAGAGGACTCCACTCCCTCAGACCTTGGTCTTCGGGTTTCTTTCCCCCTGTTTTGCTTCCGTCGTTTCCCAGCCGCCCGCGAGAGGAAAAAACAAATCTCCGCGCCATTTCTAACTAGCGCTTTCTTTGCTCGCTGCGCGCGCGCGAGTCGATTTTTTTTCAGAGACCCTCGAGGCAGCTTGCAGGTGCTGAGCTTCGGGGATCAGTTCAACCAGAGCCTGGGCCGCTTCAGAGCGCCCAGCGCGCTGCAGGTCTTGGCCTTCGGCCACGACTTCAGCCAAAGCCTCAAAGGCGTGGAGCTGCCGGAGACCTTAAGGTCCCTGTCCTTCGGCCCGTTCTTCAACCAGCCGCTGGATGTCCCCTGGACATAAAAGCAGCGCCCCCGCAGATCTTTTCGGAGTTTTTCTTTTTTTGGGGGGGAGGGGGAAGGAAAGAAGAGGAAACAACATCACGTGTTGTTCACATTTTGTTCACAGGATTGACGTTTTTGTCCCTGTCTGTATTTATTTATCTATCTATTTATTTATTTATTTATTTATTTATTTGTTTGTTTGATTTATTTATTTGTTGTTTATTATTTGTCTCTCCTTCTTATTTTTTTAATGATCCGCATGTTTGGCTTGTTTTCTTGATTCGTGGCGGTTTCTTCCGCGACCGCCAGGTGAAGCTGCCCAGCGGCCTGAAGAACCTGGCGCTGGGGGGCTTCAACCGGAGTCTGCAGATGGAGTGGCGGATCCCATTTCCCTTGGCCAAGAAACACACCTGCTCGCCGTTTTGTTTTTCTTTTTTTTTTTTTTTTTGGGGGGGGGGGGTTTGACTTTTTTTTTTTTTGCGTCTTTGGTTCTTTGTGTTGTTTGGTGAAGTCAAAGGTTCTCCAACAATGCACTTGGCCCATGAAGGTCCTTTTCCGCATTCTTATCAAAAAAGACACACGCTGCTTTTCCGGTGGGGTTTGGATGCAACACCAACTGAACAGAAGCGGATGTATTGTTGACATTTGCATGCTTTTGAACAATACCTGGCTTCACATTCAAGGAAGAACACTGCTGGATCCAAAGACTCCCCAATTTACGGGGACATCGAAGACCTGCCCCCACCCATGCCGGGGTTGGGTTGAGGAAAGCTTCCCAGGAGCTGCCGGATGGCCTGGAGAACCTGGTCTTCGGCACCTGGTTCAACCAGAGTTTGGAGGGCGTGCGCCTGCCCAGCCAGCTGCAGGTCTTGACCTTTGGGGCCGAGTTCAACCGGAGCCTGGACAAGGCGCCGGCGCTGGGGGCGCTGGGGGCGCTGGGGGGCTGGGCTGGGCGCGGTTGGTTCAATTGGGATTTCGCGGGGGGGTGGCGCATTGACTTGAGATACCCTTTTTGGAGTTTTTTTTTTCTTCCTTTTTTTCAGAAGCATCTATCATGCTTTTGGGGAAGCGAAGGACAGGAAAGCCGCTCACACGGCTCGCATCCGGCTTCTCGCAGGTGAGCTTGCCGTATAACCTGGAGATCCTGCGGTTCGGGGGGAACTTTAACCAGAAGCTGCCCCGATGCTTGCCGGTGGCTCTGCAGAGCCTGGCCTTGGGCTATGAGTATCAGCAGAGCTTCGAGAAAGTGAGCTGGAGCCCCAACCTGAAGACCTTGGTCCTGGGCGGCAACTACCGGAAGCTGATCAGCATGGACAGCCTGCTGAACCGGCTGCAGGGCGTCTTCAACTTCGGCCTATCCCACGGATGCAACGACCAGCACAAGCACTTGCCTCAGACCTTGGAGTCCTTGAGCCTGGGCCACGACTTCAACGAGAGCTTGCGGCAGGTGAAGTTGCCCAAAGGCTTGGTGAGCCTCACCTTGGGGGCGAAGTTCAATCAGATCCTCGACGCAGATTGGCCCAGCAGCCTCCAGTCCCTGACTTTGGGCCACTGCTTCAACCGCTCTCTGCAGCCCTGCTGTCGGATCACCCGCCTTCAAAGCCTGACGCTCGGCGAGTTGTTTTTCTTTCTTGCTGGCTTTCCGTCATTCTTTTTTGCATTTTCACCGCTTTTCTCTCTTTCTCTCCCCTGTTCTCTTTCAGTTTCCCCCGCCTCCCTCTCTCTCTCTCTCGCTCTCTCTTTCTCTCTCTCTCTCTCTCTCTCTCTCTCTCTCTCTTTCTCTTTCTCTGTCTCTCTCTCTCTCTCTCTCTCTCTCTCTCTCTCTCTCTCTCTCTCTCTCCCTCTCTCTCTTGCGTTTTGATTTTCTCCCCCAGGACTCTGGGTGAGAACTTCAACCAGAGCCTCCAGGGCGTGGAGTTCCCGGCCGGCCTGCAGCACCTGAGCTTCGGCCGGGATTTCGACCAGGACCTCAGCGGCGTGGAGTTCCCGCCCGGCCTCGAGAGCCTGAGCTTCGGCGCCAAGTTCAACCGACCTCTCAGCACCGAAGCTCGGCGAAGGCTTTCCGAGTCATGGCGATGTTTTGGGGAAGTTTGGGGGTGCGACCGTCTTTTTGGAGGGTGCCCTGTCTCTTGTTTTTCGTTCGAAAGGGACAACCAAGAGGAAAGCCGAACCATTTCCCCCAACAAAATGACACACATCTGGCTGCACATTCTTTGGTTGCCCGAGGTGCCACATGCCATTTCCCCCTGTTCTTTTTGGGGTGAGGTAGAGCTGCCGGAGAGCCTGGAGGAGCTCAGCTTTGAGGACGAGTTCAACCAGAGCTTGTCGGGCCTTGAGCTGCCGAAGTTGCGGACCTTGAGCTTCGGGGCCATGTACAACCAGGGCCTCAGCTTGGCCCTGCCGAGCCTCCGCAGCCTGAGCTTCGGCCGCGAATTCAACCGGAGTTTGGAGGATGCGCAGTTGCCGGAGGGCCTGGAGTCGCTCAAGTTTGGCCAGAAGTTCAACCAGAGCTCCTTGGCTCTTTTTGTTAGAACCACAAGCTCTTTTTGCAGGAACCCGATTTGTGTGTGTGTGTGTGTGGAAAAGAAAACTCGGCAGGGCTCATAAATGTCGCAGTGTGTGTGTGTGTGGGGAAAAACAAAGAAAGACCCATAAATGTCTGTGTGTGCGTAAAAAACATATAAGGTCCCATAAATGTTTGTGTTTGTGTGTGTGTGCGTGTGGAAATGGATATGGATATATCTACACATATATAGTAACAATATATATATATATATATACACATACATGTACATATTATATAATGTCTCTCTCTCTCTCTATATAATGCGTACATCTATATATGTATAATGTGTATGTATATAGGTATATACATATATATATATATATATATATACACATGTACATGTACAGTTCGATCCAGGCCTGGATGGGGTGAAGCTGCCCGCGGGGCTGCAGACGCTGACCTTCGGCTTCGGCTTCAACCGCAGCCTGGCGCAGGTGGAGCTGCCGCCGCTCCGCGCGCTGAGGTTCGGCGTGATGTTCAGCCACTGGGGCACCGCCCCTCGGCGCGAGTCGCGAGCGGCTCGCTCATGTCGGGGCCGAGTCGCGGGGAACGGGGAAACCCCGACTTCGGGGCGGGGGTTTCCCGTTTTTTGGAACCTCGAAGTGGCCCTTTGGAAACCAGTCAAGTGCGACCCTGGGGAGCTCCAAGCCCAGTTCCTCGGGCGTGGGTGAACCCGCGGAGTCAGATTCTCAGGTTCGCTTCCCGGAGACTCTGCAGAGCCTGACCTTTGAGAGCAAGCGCTATGCGGGCTGGGAGCAGCTGAAGTTGCCGGATGGCCTGACGCACTTGAACTTCCTGCACCTGGACTTCAAGATGATCGTGAAGCTGGTGACGCTGCCCCGCAACCTCCGGCAGCTCTATTGCCAGGATACCTTGATCAGCTCTGAGCCCCACGTCGAATAGAATTCGTAAAGTAGGGAAGTCCCAGCCACCGCCCATCAGCTGCGGTTTGTTGTGACTGCTTGGACTCCCAGCCTGCACGGCCGGAAAACACGGCCCCCGGGCAGCGTGGCTCTCGGTCTGTCAGCCCGTCGCGCCCGAATTCGACTCCGCCAATTCGCGTGGCCCTGGAACGGCGGGTCCGGGTCCGGTCCATGCGCATGTAAACTTGTAATCCCAAAGTTCTCGCACCGCGAGTGGAATGCATAGCACCCCGTCTCTGGAGGAAAAAGCGCCATGAGTTTACAGGGCTCCCGAAAAGATACATTTTGCAACCATTTGAAACATGTTGCTTTTTCAACACCAAAATAAGGGGAAACCGCCATTGACAAGGCGATGTTCAGGTGCATAATGCATCCGGATCCCTGGTTAATACGAGGGAGCTACGCGGAGCGTCCGGAGCTAGGGCCCTCGCCAGGCTGCGGCCCAAGCGGCGCAAGCTGCTGCTGTGCAACAGGCACATGCTGCTGCACAGGCGCAGGCGCAGGCAGGGCTTGGAGGAGCTTCATGTCGAGGTGCTTTAGCCTAAGGCCCTAAAGACGTGCGCCACAGTTTCTTTTGCAATCTTGTGCTGAAATGGTATATTTGTTTGGATATACCTGGGGACACCTAATTTCACCATGATTGTTATTTTTGGGCCAAGCCATTTCGCCGTTTTGCCAAGAACTCCAAGGGGCGTGCTGGGTTCGTGGTATGACCTAGCGGCGAAGCTGGCGTTTCAGGCGCAAGCCCTGCAGGCGCGAGCGAGCTGCGAGTGAATCCAAGCTCTTTGCCGGGGAATGAAGTGGGTGGCTCGTCTTTTTGAGGTTGGACACCCCCCAAAATGTGGGTTCTTCTTTTGGTTTCCCTGTAAAGCCGCCAAAATAGAGGTAGCATGTCGGAAAAATGAACCGCACGCAAGTGCAAATGGTTTGTCATCTCGGGAGCCTTTTGGGCTGTAAGCTCCAAGAGCATGGCTCGGCTTGAATGGCTGGACCGGAATCTTTCCTTTGGTGCATTTTGTTTGGATGTTAGGACTCTAGCTTTTTGCCAGCTAATGGGTTTTCCGTTGAACCACGAAAAGTTAAACTTTTGGCAGGGGAGCCGAAAGCAACCGAGTTTCGAAAGGCGGCGGCGATGGCAAGACAGCGGCAACTGCTGGCAGGCATGGCACCGGACGGTTTATCGTATGAATCTTGGGAGAAGGTCCAAGCACGTGACCTGATCGGAGCTCGAAACTCCCAATGTGGGACCGCGAAATCAAAAGGTAAGCCAAACTTTGTGTCATGATGGCTGCTGGCTGTGGGATGTCTTCCTGTTCTTTGTTTCCTAAGAATATATGCGTATCTCATCACTTCTCATCACTTCTCATCACTTCTCATCACTTCTCATCACTTCTCATCACTTCTCATCACCACTCATCACTCCTCAGGGAATGAGCCCGATAAACCATCCCCTGTTTCCTTTATGAGGGAATCCCTAGGTTCATTCTCTGCAGCATGGTTTTGTCAGTGTCGCTGTGGAAGTTGCACCAAGGGCTCCGGATCCAAAACCGCGCGCGGCTTCCACGCAGACCCCACTGGCGGTATCCAGCCCGGCGGCTACGACTATAACTATGCCATGCGCCTGCAGGCGCGAGACGGCGAGACGGGCGGCTTGCCACAGGGCGTGGTGACTTTGGGGATTTCGGGGTTTGGTTGGATTTCCCTAAAAACACCAACAAACAGGGTACCCTTAACATAGACATTGGAAAGCACCGGTTATATATATATATATAAATATGTTTTGTCGATGATGGTGAATGTTTCGAAATCGACTCAGGTAACATGGATTTTCCTGTGGACTTTCCTTCAACACACCAACAAACAGCCAAGGAGCTGAGTCGCCTCGAGTGAAAACACACCAACAAACAGGGAGTCCACAAAGAAAGACACATTGCGAGCTCCGAAGCCGATGTCGCCAAGGCTCAGGCACAGGCTGCGCAGGCGCAAGCGGCCCAATTTGCGAAGGTGGGGTCGGTTTGTTTGAGTGGGGCTGGGAAGTGGCGAGTTCTTCGGGTTGGTAGGGGGAACTGCTAGAACCGGCACGTGCCAGGGGTTTTGCAGGTTTTTAACCTCGCCCGGGTCACTGCATCACCTGCACAAATTCGATGCATCAGGTGTGAACTAATCTCTCTCTCTCTCTCTCTCTCTCTCTCTCTCTCTCTCTCTCTCTCTCTCTCTCTCTCTGTGTCTCTCTGTGTCTCTCGCCGTTCCGTGCGGCCAGGGAAAAGGTGTTGCAGATCTGCCGTGAATGGGTATTTCCCCTGGCTTCTTAGAGGGGCTCTCATCTCATCCGATTGGCCAGTCGCTCATGGGCATGCCGAGCTTTGGCGGCTATGATGAGCGTCGAGGGCTCGGTGAGTGTGGTGACCGGTCGAGGGAGAAAGCGCGGTCGATGGCTCACGTTTTTTTCGGCGCCCCAGGCCGTTGGGCGGAAGAGCTCAAAGCAGCGCAGGCGCCGGCATGGGGTTGCTGGCCGGCAACTTGTTGCTTGCTTTGGAAGGCTTGGTGTTTTCTTTGTGGTTTGCGCCCAGCAAACCCCCACTTCTGGCGAGGGGGGTTCCAGTGGAATGTGAGTATGTGAACCTTGAAATAAAAATTCTGTTTCCAATGGCAAAGATCTTGGAGCGTTTTCACACGTATCAACGCGAGAACCCTGCCATCGATGAACCGGATGCCTTGCTTGCCTTTGGCTTTGATCCTTGCACTCGCCTTTCGTTTTGATAGGCGAAATCCGAAAAGCCTGTAAACAAATCGCAAAAACCTGTAACACCGGAAAAAAATAACAACAATAATAATAAACACATCCTGCAAGGGAAGCCCAAGCCTGCAAGAAACGGCCCGGTTTTCCCCCGACTCCACGAAACCCCGTGGCGTTTTTTGGGCGTCGTCTTCTTGAGAGGCGCTGGGCACCTCCCCTGGCTACCCCGCGGAGCGCCAGCGCCGCCTACAGGCGAGTTGGTGGACAAAGGGGCTGGTCGGAAAAAGTCTTTCTTTTTCCCCCCAAAAAAGAAGCAAAACGTGTATTTTAGATCCAGGACGTAAACCCTGCATCGAGAAACAAAACCATCGGACATGAGAAGACCGGAGAGGTTTGCACCTTTTGTGTTGAACCCGGTAACCCTGCAAAGTCGGAAAAATCGCCAACAAGAGCTTGGGACTTTCTCTTCCGCCAACGCAACCTCGAACCAAAAGCCGGAGCTTGAGAGTGGCTTTCCGTCAACCGCAAACTCGAACCCAGAAAACGGGGTTGGGACTTTCTCTTTCAGCGCAACAATGAGACCCAAACCAAAAAAAAACGAACCAGGGACCGAGGGGAACGCCGAGCGGAGGGTTTCCGCGCTTCGGCTTCGCCTCGGCTCCGGCGCCGGCGCTTCGTGACTCGAGGAGCAGCGGGTGGAGCAGCAGCGCCTGGAGCTGCAGCGCCAGGAGCAGCGCCGCATCGAGGCTCGCCGCGCGGGGCGCGGGCGCGCGTCGGGGCGTGGGAAGTGAAGGCGCCTCGTGTTCTTGTTTTGGGGGACGGCCCCTTTTTTTTCCCCACGTTTCTTGGGATTTTGTGGGGTTGGGCTTGGAGGAATTTTAGTCTCCCAATTTTGTAGAAACACCCAACTGGGGGTGCCGCTCGTCTTTTCCTTTTTGTTGCAGGAAACACGACCTCCGATTTGCAAATGGGTGGAGTCCTTTAAAAATGCACCAAACAGGGATCCCCATGCGTGACCGAGGGAACATTCCATGTGCTCCCCTTTGAATTCTCTTTCAAGCCATTCCAAAGAAGGAAGCACCCCCCACAAGCAGATGCCCCTTCGCTCTTTTTTTGGAGGTGCTTTCCCGCGCATGTTGCGGGTTGGGAAGACGTCACTGAGAGAGCCTCAGGAGCAGCGACTACGGCAGCAGCTGGAGAGGGCGCCCGGCCGCCCAAAGACTTTCTCTCGAGCCGACGTGAAGCCTATGGCCCAGGCTTTCCATGGCTTGGGCTTCCAGTTTGACACGAAGCTGCGAAGCTTTGGTAGACGTTTGCGAGCGCATGTCGGGGAAATTGCCCAGCCGAGCGCGAAGCTTTTCGATGACCTCCCCCGGTCGCAAGGCCGCAGACCATGCCGGCAGTCGGCCCGCCGAGCGGGCCGACGACTCTGCCGGCACCAGCTCCGCTCGTGCCTCCAGTGCCCGCACCCACGATGCCAGCAGCGGAGGCACGGAGAAGTTGTTGAAAGTTTCGGGGCACGGACTTGCGGTCCCCGACTTTTCTGTCAGGCCTTTCAGAAGTCACGCTTTCTTTTTTCGTTTTTCAATACAAATGCACATATTAATATTTTTTGTTAATATGAAACACACATATTAGATTTCCGTTTTCTCACGTGTTTGGGAGCCCGAAGTCAGTGCGCAACCCTTGTCCTGAAGCGCCGCTGCAGGTGAGCAAGGAGGGTGGCAAAAAGGCTCAGCCGAAGAAGCCGGGACCACGGGAAGAGAGCGGAAACTGCTTGGGTTTCTATGTGGCCGTGGGTCAAAATCAATGGGATCCCATTTTGGGGTAGGTGCAGCACCCATTTTAGGCTTTATTTTAGTGGGGAGTGGGATTTTCCCTGGAAGTACGGGATTTTGACCCATGGCCATGTGTTGCTTGGGGGGGGGTTTGCTGCGCCTCACATGGCAGTGACGCATAGCATCCGTAACAGACTGCTGTTTCAGGCAATTGAGCTCGCCCAGCTTTTTTGATTCTGGGCACTGACTCACTGCAAGTAGAAAGGGCATTCTTCGGGGTTCCTTCCAATCATTGCTCGGGCAGTATCACTTTTCGGGGCCCCAAATGCCCAGAAAGTTGCACATGGTTTCAACCCAAACGTATACCAAGTTTCTCTCTCCGAATCCTCCGTCGGATCGCCATAGGCAGAAGGGACCTGAGTCCCCGGGAGGACTGCGTGAGAGAGACGCGAGGGGCTGCAGGTTTCGGGCTCCGGCACTAGGGTATGGGTCAAAGTGGAACCGCCAGGGTTTCCGCTCCCAATTTTCCACTTCTGACTTCCTTGTTTCATGCAGCTAGCGGGGACGGCGACCGATATTTGACCAACTGCCTTAGACACGGCCCCCAGACAGCAAGAGATGTTTGCCCCAAACGCCTGTCCGATCTGCTCCGTCCGACAGGAGCGCCCTTGGCGCCTGCACCCGTGGGGCCCAAGGCGAAGGAGGCGCAGCGTTCGACGTGCCGGCCG